CACACACACACACACACACACACACACACACACACACACGTCAAGGTGCAGACTGGGCTGTGGGTGGTGATGGAAGACCGGAAAGGCCCTGTTAACTAGCATTGTGAAAGCCAGGACCTGGAATTTGGAAACCCGAGGCCTTTGCCTGCATCTGCTATATTCCCACCTCCTTGCTGAAGGTGCCCCCTGGTGGCCAGATACTGCGGTCCTGAGGGCCTGGCCCAGGCCCGCCCAGCCTGGCCTGCCCTGCCCACTGCCTCCTCGTAGAGGCGGCCCTTTGCCAGTCTGGCCCAGGGTCCCCTGCAGGCCTTCTGGGAGTGGTTGCCCTGTCATCTCCCCTCTGGGGTTCTCAGTTGGCACCTTGGGTGTTCCTCACCCAGAGCAGGCACTGTCCCTACTCATGGGTCTCAAGAACGGGGCCCGTGAGGACCAAAGCAGCTGGATTCTTCTCTGGCAGACCCAGGAGGGGACCAAGTCCTTGTCCTTTGGGATATTTACAAATCTGGATCCATTCAACAAACACATGAACCATGTGACCCTGTTGTTGTTGTTGTTGTTGTTAAATGCATTTTAATCAGTTCCGACTCATACTGAGCCTGTACAGGGTACACTAGGAGCGGCTGGTGGGCTTGAACTGTCCACCTTGCAGTCCAGCGCATTAACCCACAGCACCACAGCCAGCCCTGGGCGTTCAGAATTCCCTATCCAGGAACCTGGGCATGGGGTGGGGTGGGGGACGGGCACGGGCTTGTAGGGGTGGGGTCTGCGGAGTTACAGGTAGAGGGTGGGGGTGAAGTTCCATGGCAATGGGCCCCAGAGGCGAAAGCCCAAGCTCAGACCCCAGTTTAAGAGAGAATGAAGCCCACCCTGACCCCAGCTCCCCCAGCTATCTGGCCGGCTGGCTGGAGGAGGTCAGGAGTTAGGGACAGCTAGCTGTTTATAGCAGAACTGTGTTCTAAGATGGGAAGAGCACATTTAGGGGGGCCATAGCTATGGGTGGAGGAGCCGGCAGGCCCTCAGGGCATTGGGGAGTCCCTTGAACAGCTGAAGGGAAGGTGTGGTGTACTAGGCTGGCTTGCCCTGCCATCAGCAGGAAGTAGAATTCTCCAGGACCCCAAGCCCAGGGCCACCACCTCCGCAGCAGAGATGGGACCCAGACCCTCCCAGGAGCATTGATGGCCAATCTCGGGCTGTGGGGCACACAGGGGGACTCACCCCGGCCATGAGACCCGCAGCCTCCCTCACAGTGGCTGCCACACAGAGCACAGCCCCGACGGTCAGGAGTCCAGCCAGGCTGAGTCCCAGGAAGAAGGCTGTGGGAAGACGTGGAGGCTCAGGGGTGTCCAGGTAGAGGCCTGAGTCCTCTGGGCTGGAAACCAGGGGGCTCCTGAGTGAGCATCCTAGCAACCTCAGTCCACCCAGTACTGAGGAGGACCTGGGGAGGCAGATCCACACCAGCCTGGGAGGTCCTGCCCCCAGCCCCTGGGTTATCTTTGAAGACACATTTCCAACCTCCCCGACCCTCTCCGCCTGGGGTCTATGTGGGGTTATAATCTCTTCCCTCCCAGGCTTCCTGTCCTAGAGAGGTTCATTACCCTTGGGATTGGGGTAATGAAGTGGCCCCAATGCTGTGGGCCTCAGCTTCCTCCTGATGCTGGTGAGTGGTCAGAGGGGCCCACTGCACCCCCCACCCCATGGCCCCTTATTTCTGCAGCCTGGCTGCACCCAGAAAGTTGGGGGACACAGGTATCCTGACTTTAGCCCCAGAGACTCTAGTTGGGAAGCCAGGTTTGGGTTCCACACAGCAGCCAGAGGGGTCCCCCAAAGCCAGACTATGTCCCGTCTCAGAAACCCAACGCCATCACCCCCAATTTTACAAGTGACAGTCTCATTCTAACCCACCACCATCCAGGCCCTGGGGACTTGGCATGTGACTTCGGGTCTGGAATATTCTTTTTCATAAACCCGCTCCTTCTCTGGAACCCCAGTGGGTCTGGTTCCAACATCCCCTTAGGAAAGAGCCCTTCCTACGTCTATCTGTCTGTCTCTTTACCCTAGCAACCCCACCAGCAGGTATTACCCTTCCTGACTCGTTCTGCCATCTGTTACATTGTTTTATTGCGACCTTCTTGGAGGGGACTCTGCCTAGAGCAGTCCAAGATGCCAGTGGTCCTCCGAGTCTCTCCATAGATCCTTTGGTCTCAGCCCCAAGCTGCCCTGACGCAGCCAGCAGATGGACCACAGACACACTTGCCTTGGGCTGACCCCCACCACCTGGAGCTGGGGTCTTGCCACTGGGGAAGGAACGAGTGTGGGGGTTCTGCTAGTGGTGAATACAACAATGCATTCTAGAACTGGGGAGATTACCACAGAATGGGGTCGGGGACCCACCGGTCACACTGAGACAGATCTGGACTCAGACCCATCAGTCTCCTGACCTCCATTTACCTCTACTCTGACCGGCGGACCACAGCGACATGTTGGCTCTTGTTCAGAATCCCTGGATAGTCTGTCATGCCCTGTCCCCAGTGCCCCACGGCACAGATCTTTGGGGAGAAGGTTGTAGGAACGTTCAGCAGTGTTATGGGGTCCTTTCTCAAGGAAAAGGGGTCCCCTTTCATTCAACGGGCCTGCAAACTGGCTCAAGTCTGGGAGGTGATTAAGGTTCCATGATGCCTGCTTAGTTGACCTAAAACACTCCTGCTTACGAAGATCAAGTTAGGAATTTAGTGGACTTCCCAACTAGAAGCATGTCACTCCGAGAGACACAAGGAGCAGCTGACCAATACCCCAGGCCAGTGTGTGTCAGACTACTCTGGCTATACACTTACTATGTCCCCAAGTCCTGGCCTCCGGACGTGGCTGGACACTGTCTGAGGTTAGGGATGGTCATCTCCAGTCCCATAGCCTTCTGATCCCACAAGGATCCTACCTTGCTCCCAATGCCCTCCCCCGCTGCCTGTTTAGGTTGGAGAAAGGTGACTGTCCAGGATCAGGGGAGGGGTAGTGACCTCCCTCCTAGCTTAGGGGAAGGGCCCAGAGAGGTGGAGTAGTTTGTGTTGGGGAAAGGGCCTGTCCTCTCTATCGGGGGGTGCAAAGAGGGAACAGGAGCAGGTAGAGATGCAGTACCAACGACCCTCCCCTCTGCCAGTCACCAGCCCTGGGAATTGCTTACCCCAGCGGTGCATGGCCTCGTAAGGGTTCCTCTCCAAGGAAACACTGCTGATGACAGTAAAGTTGGCCCCGAAGTAGGTGAGAACAGACATGGCGGCCACAGCCAGGCCCAGCAGCTGCACAGGGTACAGGGTGAGGGAAGGATGCGGCCTCTGTACTGACCAGGACACTGAGCCACAGAGGGCAGAGCCCAGGGACTCCCATACCAGGCTCCCTCCGGCTTCCTGGACCCTCCTGACACAGGCTCAGGGGTTTCAGTGGGTGGTCTGCAGACAGGTCTCTGCCCCAAACACTGTACTACACACACACAGAGACAAACTGACACCACACACTCAGACATACTGACACCACACACTCACAGACAGACAGACACCACACTCACAGACAGACACCACACACTCAGACAGATACCACACACTCACAGACACCACACACTCACAGACAGACACCACACACTCACAGAGTCACCCATTCTGCAGGGGAGTAGGACTGTTCCCACCCCTCCTGAGAGCTCTGTCCGGGGCAGTGGAGACAGGAGGGTCCAGGGCCCAGGAGGCCGGGAGACTGGCCGCCACAGAGTCTGTACAGAATCAGTGTGACAGATTGTGTGTGAGTGTCTACGTGTGAGTGTGTGTGTGTGCATAAGTATACGTGTGGATGTGGGTGTGAGTATATTTGTGTGTGTGTAGGTGTGCATTAGTGTATGTGTGAATGTGTGTGTGAGTGTATTTGTGTGTGTGTGTGTGTGCATTACTGTATGTGTGTAGGTGTGCATTAGTGTATGTGTGAATATGTGTGTGAGTGTATTTGTGTGTGTGTGCATTACTGTATGTGTATGTGTGTAGGTGTGCATTAGTGTATGTGTGAATGTGTGTGTGAGTGTATTT